CGTCTCTAAGTTACTGTGTTGTATTTCATGTCTAAATTGATAGAAACAGACATTCAGAAATTCTCATTCATTTTGGGAACAGATTTAAAGATACCTCCTTGCAAGTTAATATTTCTTTTTCTCAGAAACTATTTTTAAAATTGGTTTATCTCAGGGAATTCTGGAGAGCATGGGATTGGACAAGGAAGAACAACTTTGGTGATATGAAAATCAAATTAACTGACCTACTTCAATTACTCTCTATTTGTGGTTGCTTTTTTAATTTGTTTAAGATTGTTCTGGCAGAAGGTTAGGAACGAAAAGTAATAAGAAATAAAAATATGGGATGTGCACTCAAAATACTGTTACGTGTGTTACATTTAAATCCGTTATATGTCAGTTGCTATTTTTCATTGGTTTGTTCATCCTTTTTAATACTCAAGTTCTAAGTAGAATATTTAGCTGTGAATACAGGTATGCTCTGGAATCTATGCAGTATAATCAGGTAACACTGTTGGTGTTTTACATTTAGAGAAGTATGGATTTAAAAATAAACATGTATTTTATATCTTAACTAGCTGTTGTCATTCACAGTCTGAAAGGACACTGTACAGACTACAGAATGCAGCTGATCACTCTCATATCATATGAATACCTTTTCGTGAACTATTTGCATTGAACTTCTGTTTGTCCTACATCTGAAAATAATGTAAGAATCTAATGAAGTCATGAGATGAAAGAAGGTGAACTTCTTTTGTTACTTTTTTTTCCTTTATTTTGGAGGACTGTATGAGAATATGAGTAGCAGTGCTTTTCATTAAATGTGCCTATGGATGTTCAAGAACCATGAGGATAACTAAAGTTGAAAAAAATATGGAGAAAAATTTAAGAAAACTTAATCAACGGAAGGTATAAAGTGTCACTGGAGCGTTTTTTGTGGTGTATACTTACTGTTAAATTCCTGCTAGCGATGAAAACAGGAGTTGGAAGGAGAGGAGAAGTTAAAAGTATGGTAAGTCAACCTCAACTACTTGGTGAGGAAAAGGAGATGATGAAAGGGAGAAAATATGTCACAAAATGTTGAAGTAGAAATTCTGAAGAGAACTTAAAAATAAATTATATTTCCACATTTAATTTTTAATAAAATCATTACTAAATTAATTTTGTTTCTGCGGAAGATGTCAGGATTTCCTCAAATTCAGGGGGAAAATACTTCAATTTGTCATCAGTTTATGTTCATTTTAACTTTTTTTTCCAAGTGGTGTTTTAGAAGTGGACAGTGAAAGCTTCTGATAAAAAATGCAATGAAGAAAACACAGAATTTAATCTTTATTTGTTACCCTGATCCTTTTGGTAGTAGAAATCAAATGCATGCTCCTTTGTTGCATTCTTAGATGGACTCCTTTAATATTGTGGTGTATAGATTTGAAATTTTTCAATAAATGCCTCAGCACCCAGTGTGTTGTTGCATTGTTGCATTTCTGTATTAGCAATAAAAGTGAAGGATATGTCAGTTTTGTATTTCTGCTAGATTGTTTTTACTCTGGTTCGAGTTAACATCTTCACATGAAATAATACACACTCTTGCATTTCATGAGCCTGTGTAGAGGCAGCTATGCAATACTGGTTTAGTAGTGCAGTCTGAGTGACTTCAAAATGGAGAATTAGGGGTTGGTTCTTCCAACCTTTTTTTGCCTTGACTCACAAAATATGACAATTTGGAAAGCACTTAATGCAATAATAACATGTACAGCTGTTGTTTCTTAGTTCTTGCCACATGCTTTTTATGTAGCAGATTGAAAAATACTTCACTAAAGACTGGAATTTCAGTGATGATATATGCAGTATCAAACAGTACATGATTTCTGGTAGTTCTATCCTAACTCAGATTTTTTTTTTGAATCAGACTCCTAGCATTAAAGAATTGCTTTTGCCACCACTTTCACTGTCTCCATACCGTACTATAGTGCCTAAATTCGCAATGGGTAAAAATGAGGTTTTAATTTGATACTTTTTTTGTGTTTATTCACATGAAATACAGACAGATAATTTTAACGTCCTACTTCCATGAAAAGATTGATATATTCAGCACTAAGACAAGAAAGGGCTGTTGTCACTTTTTGGTTTTAATCTGTTGTTTTCATAGCAAATTTTCTCAGTTTGACTTTGTAAGTGATTTTGCTTCCTTTTCAGATTAATATGAAGGTATTTAAAAAATAAATAGTATTTGCCAGTAAACAGTGGATTATGGGAGAAAAATTGTATTGTGCTGTAGGTAAAGAGATGCCACGGGAAAGGATGAAAATGAATTCAGGAATGACAGTCCTCTGAGACATCAAAAGGTCTGCTCCACCAGGTCGCAGTGTTTCTTTCTGTGTACTATTGCCTGGAGCACTCTGGGCTCCAGCAGTATACAGGGGATACTCTTTTGATTCTTCCCAGATAAATGGAAGGGTAAAATCAGTTTCTTTTGGTTTTCATTGGATCAAATTCACTTTAGAATAGTTTTCTTTCTTGGAAGTTTGTCGAAATCTGCTTTAGATGCCTTAGTTACATGAGGGTTTTTTTATGGTTCTTGACCACCAGGCTGTCAAACATTGCTTTTGCCCTGTTGTATTCAAACAAGTATGACTGAGTCAACTCAAAGTGTAAGTTGAGATTGTTCTTGTGTAGTGTCAGACTGTCTTTATAGTATCTAGACAAAAATCAGTAGATGTTAGGGGAATAGATGAATTACCTAGTGAAATCTGTCAACATAACCTCATGTAGGAGGTTGCCCTGTGTGTTAATCAGGTGCTTTTTTTCCCTGCTGTTTCACTTGCTTACCAGAATAGGGTAGTCTTTTAGGAACACTGCTTATGATCTCTGCAGTAAGAAATCAATCTTTACTCTAGTATGATACGAAGTAATATATAGATTGAGGAAGCAAAGTATGAAAACAGTTGCACCGGAAAGGGCAGATGATAATTTACTTAATTGTTTGTGTCTCAAAAATTCCTTTTTATGACCCTTATTTCTACCCAGTCATGGCTCCCAAGTAATACTTCTGATTTTTTTCCTTTCTTTATAAGCATGTGAAATAAGCAGATAGAGTAGAATTTCAATTCATTTAGAGGAAAAGATAAGAGCATGCAAAGTGATACCCTAGGATTTTTTCCCTACAAGTGTAACTCACCTAGACAATGTTCACTCGTGTTGCAATAGATGACTTTGTAGACTATTCAGGCGAGTTTGCTGCTTACTGATTGATGTGGCATATTTGCCTTTTGATTGGTTTAAAGTGTTAAGTTGTTTAACAGTTCAATTGTGGAGATAAGCAATTAGTTTGCAAGTCTGATTCAGGATAACCTGTCTGACTATTCTGAGTAGTCACAGTAAGTAGTTTATTTCAGTTAGAAAATTAATCTGAGCAATACAGAACATTTGAAATAGCTAGTTGCACTTTTGTACCATCCTGTCTCCATTCATTCTCTAAATTGCTGGAAAACATCCCGTTTAAACAGAACCCAAATATCTCTGATTTCACTTCACAAATATACATATGCTTTCCAGTTTCTGCATAGTGCATAATGAAACTAAATATGTGGTGTACCTGTGCCTGTGTACTCAGATTCCTTAAAGAGCTGGAGCTTTTATAAAAATTTGTGTTTATGAATTTTTAGCTCAGAGTCAAGAGTCTCTTTCAAATAGGTGAGATTTTAAATGATGTTTTTAGGGTGTCTCCAAGTACAGACTTTTGTTTTGGTAAATGTTAAGTAAGTAGTAATGAGCTAGAAGGAAGACTCGAAGGAGCTGCTTATTCCAATTCCATGAGGACCTGGGGAGTGGGAGGGTAACAAACAAAATTACTGATGCTTTCCATAATAATGTGGATACATACCTTTTTAAAGATTCAACTAAATCATTTCTGCCAGCAACACTTTATTTCTGTAAGTGTAATAATATATCCAAAGAACAAATGTTTTGTCTTTTGAATGGTGAAGTGTGACTTCAAATGTACTATTTTGCCTGTTTTTAATCAACGTATTTTCATTCTTTTTTATATCTGACATACTTATGAACCAGATGTAAGCTTTAGATGCTGAAAACTCTCACACATATATTATCAGGTGTACTGTAGAATAATCTAGAGGATTATTGTCTTTTTGATGATTTTTTATGTCTTTGTACACACTTCATTTTAGCTTGTGTATCAAAAGCAAAGCAGTACCGACATGAAAGTTTCATCAGTTTGGTACCACAATTATGGTGTCACTGCTAGGAAAATATACATTAAAGCCCTTTTGATTTAGAAAGAGATGGGACAAAACAGAATGTGGAATTAAAGCAGACTTCTGGAGAAAAACACAGAGTTCTAATAGACATTGAAGAGTGTGGGTGTTTAAAGCAAGTGTCTTTAATGCAAGAAAATCAAATGAAATTATCACAGAAAGTTCAAATTCTTGTTTTATGGCAGTGAGATTTTTCTATATGCGGATGAACTAACCCATAGTATGTGTTGAGCAATGTTGTATTATTTTCCTTGAGCTGCAAATTCAGCCAGACTTAATTATCTTTGAAAGTATTTTGTATCATAATCATTTTGGTAGCCTCACTCATTAATAATTTGTATTTACTGTTGACAAATTCTGGAAATTCTGGAGAATTTTGAATTCAGCCCTGGCTTGATTTTTGATGTCCTAGAAGTGCTCATTAAACAGTATTCTAATGCATTCTTAATCCATAAACACAGATATAACTTCGGTAAATGACTGTTTTTGCGTAACCTTCACTGAGTAATTTCCATTCAGTTCTGCATTTATAGGCTTCTTTGTTCAGTAGCAGCAGGATATTTGGTTCCTCATTTGCATTACTGTGTCTTACAGTCGTTCAGCTTTGAGTATGATTAAAGTACTAATGGAATTAAAATAATGCTGTAAAAACTGCATGTGTCAGATAGTTACATTTCATAGGCCTAAATCACAGACCATGCATGCTGTTTTGCACTTGCCTTTTGTCTATGAGCAGGTTTTTTTAAATAGAGTCTCACAGAACAGCAGCAGGAGATAAACAGCTTAATGCAGAGAAAAAGTGCTGTGGATGAGGAAAATGCCTGTTTGAAGAATGAATTCGGTAACTTGAACCGGAAATTTAAAGATAAAAGCCAAGAACTTAAGGTATATTGACTTGTACGTAGTTTCGTAAGACTGTAGCTTTGAAGTAGTTCTTTAAGCAGTGTCAGCCTTTGTGGCACAGAAAGTGACAAGCTTGGAGAAAAAATTGCCTTAGGCCTTGCTATACCTTACCGTTTTCTCACATACCAACTGAGAAAGATGCTTTAAAGCCAAGAATCCAAGCTTTACAACTTTCAGATAAATAGTTAATGATGGAAATGGAGCAAAGAAAGTAGAAGTGTGAAGATGTGGCTTCTTGTAATTAGATTCTGATGGGACTGGCATTATTAATTGATAAAGCTGAGGTCTGGGAGGATATGTCTGTGTGGGTCTCAAAAATAGCTGGGGACAGCATCAAAGGCAGCTTGATCAATTAATGGGCTCTTTGCAAATGTGTACTCATCAAAGCTGTCATCCAGCTAAAAAATATGACCCTTCCACCTGCATGAAAGAGGCCAATAAAAGTACACAGGTGACCTTGGCCATCAAATATAGAAGCTGCTGTGAGGGTAAAACTGCACAGTTTATATTTGCTGATTAGTTCTCACTTTTTTGTTTATCGGCCCTTGTGGTACTGTTCTACAGGACACTGAGGAGTGTGCACAAAAGAAGGAAGAGCGAAACAGACTGGTTATAAAAAACGTGGAGGAGGAAAATAAGGGATTAAATATATGCTGTGCTGACCTGCTAAGTGACCTGGAGAAACTGAGGAAGCAGGAGGCACAACGGAAAAAAGAAAAATCTGGCAATGATGTCAGAATAAAGGTACGAAGTGGAATGGACTCCTGGATGTTATTTGAGAATTAACTTCTCCAGACATTTCATTACAAGTTATTTTCTTTAAATAGCAAGTTATATATTCAAATCTACCAGTGGGGACTTGCATTCATTTACATTCTATCACTTAAGACCCACAGCTTTTTAAAAATTGATGCTGCAAAGCAGGAATCTGGCTTCAAATAGTCATCTTAAAATGTAATCATTAAAAAATAAAAGATGCTGTACTTTGAGATAATATATATATATATGTGACTATGAAATAATAAAAGCTTAAAAGTATTGCCACATTTTTTTTCTTGATTTGTAATTTACTTACTTATAATCTTGTTGCAGTAGACTTAATCTTTGTTGTTTTGAAAGAGCAGTAGTTCCAAATAAATTGTGTCCTAGCCTACAAAAGTCTCTATTCTGTGAGCGATCTTATTATTGCTTATAATATATTAAAAAGTTGTTTTCATAGTTCATGATAAAGCAAGAAAACAAAATAACTGAATATATGGTACAGTCTTTTTCTGTTTTATTTAAATGTTACTTTTTCTTTTTTCCTGGTGGAAATTGGCTAGTATTTTTTAAATTCCTCCAAGAAATGAGCCACAAACATGGCTTTTCGTAGTTCAACAGCTGCATATATAAACATCTAGGTAGTGGATTCTTTCTGTTTACATGGCAAATACACACAATGCTGTGTTCTTTTACATTATCAAAGTACATTCATTGCAATAACTAATTAACAGCTCACCTAGAAATGCCCTCTTTTTTCCTGCACTAGCAATTTTGGTGATGCTTCGGATTGTTGTGGTGACGGAAACTCTTGTGAAAGAGCTTAATTCAGATCTCTTAACATGAGAAGTAAAGTTCTTGCCAACTCACTTCTTCAGACTGGTTATGATGAAAGGATTATAGGGTTCCCAGGACAATAAATGATTTGTTGATTCTCCCTTGGGAGAGAAAAATCTAATGTGTGCCAAACTGATAAAATAATTTTTAAGTTGTCAAATGTAACATTGGACAAGTTACTGAAAATCTGTTACCCATGCCTTCAGTGAGCACAGCCAGAATAACTTTTAATGTCTCTGTCTTCCTGGCTGATGAGGCATGCTGATGAATGAAAGACCTGGGTGATTGTAGGGTTGGGAATTAGTAGTGTTGGTATTTCAGAGGGGTGTTACAAGCAGGTCATGCTGGTGTTTAGTGTGAAAGAGGGTATCAGGATGGGTGTTGCCTGAAACGGCCAGGGATGTCACAGACTTGGATTTGCTGTTTGCAAACTAGGAAGTACTGGTTAAGAAGATAATAATCAGTTGCAGTCTTGGCTATAATGACCATGAAGCTGTCAAGGCCAAGACCTTGAGACAGTGATGGAAGGAAAGTAGTGCCCTGGAGTTAAGAAGCGGAGTCTTAGCTGTTCAGGGAACTTGTAGGTGGAATCCTGTGAGAATCAGTTTTGAAGGGTAAAGAGCTCAGGAAAAACTATGTCTTTAAAGAGAGCTTCCTCCAAGCCCAGGTATGGTCTGCTTGGGAAAAAAAGTGGATGCCTCAGGAGATCAGCTTGGCTAAATGGAATTCACCACTAGACTTGAGTGTAGGCTGCAGGTGGAAAACGGTGTTCAGGAAGTGGAAATAGGAAAAGCTGTTGGGGAGTTCAGAAACATTGTCTGGACACTGAAGCTACCTGCAGTTGAGAGTTGCAAATAGTGACTGATAAAATCAGAATTTCTTGAACTGCTTTCTTCTTGAACAAGGAATATGGGGACCTGCTGCTGAAATGGAATGATGAATTAATTGCAAAAGTTAATAGATACAGCAGAGGTACTAAATACTGTCTTTGCCTTAAGCTTCCGCAAGATGTCTCCAGAAGTTTCGGCCTAGAGACAGACTTCACTGTAAAGTACCAAGAGTGGATGTGTTGGAAGATACCTGGGAACTTGATTAGTACCCATCCATTGGGACAGCCTGAAATGAACTGCATCCAGGGATGCTGGGAGTGTTGGCTGCATCTCAACCCTTTAATTTGGGAGTTGAATCAACATCTTTTTGTACATGCTTTTCAGTAATAAACATAGCATTTAGCAGTCTTAAAGATGTGTTGTATACAGATGTTATCCATATTAGTCTCCTCTGAAAGAATAAAAAGAATCCTTTTGAAAATAAGCTAGCCTAGCATTGCTTTTAAAATGTGTATTAGATGGTAGAAATATGAGCTCTAAATCAGGGATTGCTTCTTTGGAAAAGTGGTCACCTGTACAAAAGCTGAAGTGTTATTAGAGGTTTTGTTTGTTGTTTCTTTAAACCTTTCCACTGAGAAAAATTACCACTTCTCACTTTCAAAAACTGGTTGTTATTGTAACCTTGTATAACTAGGTATAAAATTAAACTTGTTCAAATTGAGAGAAAGGAAAAGCTGCTATGGATAGTTTGTCCTTTTAAAGAACCTTTCTTTCAAGTTTTGTCATATTAGCTGCAGTCAAAGTGAGACAGGTTAACAGGAGAATACCTGATAAGGTAGCTAAAAGGCTGACAATAGTGTTTTATTATTTGTTTTTTCTTTATATGCGTTCATTTAAATAATGTACAGAAAGTTGACTTAAGTCTTTGCTTGCTGCCTAAAGTAGTTCTAAAGAACTTTTTGTGCTTCTTTTGTGCTTCCCAGAGCTTACATATCAGCTTTCTATACGTGCTAAAATGGAACAAATGGAAAATGAACAAATGGAAAAGTTGTCAGTCAGCCAGCTGTCTCCCTGTCTGAGAATCAATTAGTTGAGTTACTTGGTTGTTCTTTAGGTGGAGGTTACTTAAGCTGTTGTTTAGTTATGAATGTATTTTTCCCCAAACTTAAGTCACAAAAGCCTTTGTATGTAGATGAAAAAATGTCAGACTGGCAAATTTAAAGTCTCGGTGAAATAAAAGCCAGTAGAATTGCTTACTGATGGGTTGTTTGTTTGTTTTTGTTAATTCTTAGTTAGCACGGTACTTTTTGAAGTTTCTGAATCTGAAGGTCAGAACTTTCAAAGAAACAGCCATCTCTCTCAAGAGGAGCCTGGGATTTTAGTTGCACTGAAAAATGAGAGTTTTATTGAGATGGGACCTTGAGAAATTACTCTCACTTCTGTCATAATATATAATAGGAAAAAACGTGAAAACAAAGCTACTGTCTTTGAAAGTGACTTTCAAAGGGTTTGAAGCTACAAATTACAAAACTGGTGTTAATTCATAGTGACTCCATAATGGGCATAAGTGTGCTTCCTTGTGCCTTGATTTTTTTATGCTTTTCATGTTTGAAGTTCTTTTAAATTCACCTTTTCTTGCTGTCTTGTACTGTGTCTTCTATAAATATGCATTTTCTTTCTCATATAATGAAGTATTCGATGTTTTGACTTACTGTTTTAAGTAGCATTTTTTTAATAGGCTTTAAAGGCTTGAATTTTAAACAGTCCATTGAAATGGACTGTAATTTAAAAACCCACATCGGAGTATTTGTACTAGGTAAATTTTCACAAATTTACCTAGCATGTTTATGCAATGAATTTTTTTGGCTGCTATATCAACAAGAAGGGAACGTGATAAATTCCGTATGATCTTAAAAATGCAGATACTCAGAAGATGAGTGTAAAGTATTATAGATTATTTAATGATCAAAATTATGATGTTGATGAAAAACTAAACATGAGCCAGCAATGTGCACTTGCAGCCCAGAAATCCGTGTCATGGGCTGCATGGAAAGAGGTGTGTCAGCAGGTGGAAGGAGATGATTTCCCCCCTCTACTGTGTCCCTGCGGGACTCCACCAGGAGTGCCCTGTATAGTTCTGGTGTTCCCAACATGGGAAGGACGTGGTACTCCTGGAGCAAGTCTGGAGGATGGCCATGAGGGGACTTGACCACCTTCCCTGCAAAGTTTGACTGAGCAAGCTGTGGCTGTCCAGCGTGGGGAAGAGAAAGTGGAGACCTCACAGCCCAGGGATCTGACTGGGGCCTGCACAGGAACCAGACGGGGACCCTTTGTCAGGAACTGTGGTGACAGGACAAGGAGGAGGGGGTACAAACTGAAGTTTAGGTTGGAGATTAGGAAGAAATTCTTTACTATGAGGATGAGGAGACACTGGAGAAGGTTGCCCAGGGAGGTTGCTGATGCCCTGACCCTGGCGGTGTTCAAGTCCAGGTTGGACAAGGCCTAGAGCAGCCTGACCTAGGAGGGAGATCTCCCTGTCCAGAGCAGGGGCTTGGAACTTCCAGATCCTTCCTAACCCAAACCATTCTGTGATTCTATTTTAGATTTCAGTATTCAGCTGAGCTTTAAATTCTGCCATTAGATACCTTCTGAAGTTGTATTTATTAAGAAATAATGTGTTACATATTCTTCATATTGTACCCTGCAATGGATGATGGGAACTTAAACCATTGGCAATGTTGGATTTTTTTCATCTCTTCATGGAAATTTCTGCAACTCTAGTGTGGTATTAGAAATATGTAAATAGAATTTATTCGGAGAATATATTAACTATTAAAATTTTTGTTCATGTGTGTAATACCTTTAGCTGCAGAAGAAAAAAATACTGAAGAGAGACCCTATAATTACTTGTCAGCAAGTTATAAATACCTTATTACACTTAAAGAATTTTATGTGTTGATAGTGAACTGTCTCCTGTCATTTCAAATTTTTTCATTCAAGGAAAAGTTAAGTTTTATTACCTAGCCTTTGACATGGAATGGTAGCTCATTTGTTGGGTACACCAGGTATGTAGCCTGATATTTGTCAAGAAATAAATTAATTTCCTACCTCATTCACTTGTGAATTTTGCTATTTCCTTACATCATTGTTACTGTTATCAACAGGACATGATAGTTCTCGCACTGTTTCAAGGAATTTGATTGTAGTACACTTCTGATACATCTAAATACCTATAAGACAATTTTATGCAATTTTAAGGAATTTAATTTATTTAGAATTAAATTATTCACTTTTCAGTTATAGAAATATTTTGATAACCTCAGTATTTGAGGCATCATTGCTGAAAGGGAAAAATGTGCATTTTCTTATTTCTTTAACTAAGTCTGTATGTAAATAGAAAACTAATATACTCTTGGCAGTAGATTAGGGATGATATTCTATGAGGAGGCTTTTATTTTAAATTATTAATGAATCATGGAATATTTGCCTTACTGAGAACGAGTGATTGCATCTGTGAGTAGCATAATACCAAAGCAGGTCTAAGGCTGTTGCTACCATCTGAAATTCTGTTCTAGATATTGCTGTAATATTTATATTTCCATTCTTGCCTTAAAACACTCTGGGAAGAATAGTCATACAAAGCTTCCTAAGGACTGATGTGCCCTTCTGAGAGAACTCTATGGAGGTTTATGTAGAGATTGAAGTCTTGTTTGAGTAAGCTGCCTTGCTGCTGTGTTTCCTGGATAAACCTTTGCAGTTTGCTGACTAACTTCTACAGTAGGGCTTATGGTAGAAGGCAGACCCTTGCTTATTTGTATTATTTTCAGTGAGCACTTTCAGAAATTTGCTTGTATGCTGTTTCTTTTCCTGTAGCAACTATTCCTTGCATTGAATTAGCAGTGCATAATAAGAGCAGATTTAACAAGCAGTCTCGAAAATGAATCTATATCTATGATTCTTAGTTCATATACACAATATTGTGAATTTTTGTGAGAGGTTAAAACAATGAATGCATAGCTGCTTGTTTTTTAGGAGCTTCTACATAGAAAACAAGGTTTAATCAAGTTTAGTAGTTAAATAGGGAACTACTGTTTTGAAAAGATTTGATTCAGAATCCTCCTTCCACATCCAGCAACTGAGTTAAGGAAAACTTATTTGAGTAAAGAAGAGGTAGCCACCTAAAACTTGAAATACACCTTTTTTCTGGTATTTCACATTTTTCATACATGTGCATACACCGATATGTATTTGCTTAGACTGCTATAAGTGTATGTATGTATGTCTGGGCACATCCATATATCTGTATACATAGATAACTTGCATAGTAGATTTTAATTATTTCTTTATCATTAATGCATTTCAGATGCTTTCTTTGCAGAATTTGGAAACTGATTTAGCAGAGACAAGAGAACAAATAAAAAGTTTGCGCACTATATGCAGTAATTTATCATCTCAGGTACACGTGAAACAGGAAGAACTTTTCCAAAAGGATTGTTGAATGGTCAGAGCTAAGTAAGTATTGAATAATAATTCTAAGTGTGAATACTCTCAAAAAGACTGTTGTTCCACTTAGCAGTGTGTTGTTCCACAAAGCAGTATCATGCATTAGAGATACTTTTGTGCAACAGTTTGTATTATTATTTTGTTCACAAGAAGTAAGGCTTTTGGAAGTCTGCCAGTTTATGTAGACTCTTCATGATACATTTTGACTCTTAGTATATCTTACCATATCTTAAGTATATCTACCTTATATCTTAAGTAGTCATAGACTTTAGAAATTACACTTCTGTAATTTGCATTGGGTCAGAAAAACCACCAATCTCTACTGAAAGTAACAAAGTAACAATATGATTAGTGACATAAAGGTTAATTAGAGAGGCTAAATACCCTAAACTTGAAAAAGATTTAAGCCTAAATTTAACTTTTTTATTAGAGTCAAAGCTGACAAGTCAGCCAAAGTCTATGTAGACCTGTGCTAAAGTTTAAAGTGCAGTGATTTAAGCTTTATCTTAGGTGTCACACACTATTTCTTTACCCTAAATCCCTAAGATTAGTGCTCCATTACTTGTGTCTTGGAAAAGAGCTAAAGGACAGAATGAATTGTATGAATTGAAAAGACTACTGAATTGCCCAGAATGAAGATAATGTCAGAAGATAATTGGTAACCCTTAAGTTGTTTGTCAGGAAATTGTCCATGTTTTGCTTCTTAGTTTCAGAGGCATACACATTGTTTCATTCCTATGTTAGATAAATAATATTCCCTTCAGTATTCCTTTAAATTGCGATTTTGCCTGAAGGGCTGCAGTTGGGAAGTAAAAATCATTGGTATGGATACTCCTCTTTACTTTCCAAGAACAAATAATCTTTCTGTATGGAGTGAGTATAAGAAAAAACCAAGAAGTATGATTTTTGATGCATCTGACCTAAATTGTCATCTTGTTGAAATCTCTTCAAGAAAGATGATGTCTTTACAAGAAAAATTATTTTCACATTTAAAAGGAATAATACCAGCTGGGTTTTAAAAAGTCAGTAAACATGCATAAGCTTATTGGGAAATTGTATTGAGAGAGGCAGTCAATGGAATTTGGGAAATTCAGCAGTAGACTAATAGAATTTATCTCCTGAAATTATTCTCAGAAAAATACATATATGTGAGGACTAGGGACAGCAAAGAAGGCATTTAGAGTCAGGTAATCTAGTTTGCAAAGTTACTGCTTGCTGGTTTTAGCTTAGGATATTGCAATCTGAGTTGGCCAAATCTTTTAACTTCTAATTTCTCAAAATGTATTCTTTGTTATTCATTGCAAAGTAGTCTCTTAGAATTTGGCACAAACACCTCATTAAATTATGGAATTAAAATAGCGACATTTTTGAACACAATGTATTTTTTAAACATAAGGTAATAAAGAGATGAATACTATACTTATGGTAAAGTCTTTTATGTTTTTCTATGTAACCAATCCTCTAAATTTATGGAAAACTGTTTGGTAAATCAATCATATAGGATTTTTTGTGTGATTTAATGTTTTCCTTCCTAGATGTTTAGTGGTATTGCAATAAGTAATGGTATTTTTTGATATCACTGGTATGTGAGTTATGCTTCACATATCTGTATATGTTTCATCAGTATCATTATAATTGTCTGCTAACTACTGTCTGTTAATCTTTCTCAACGAACTTCAGCTGCAAATTTATTTTTGACATTTCTGTTACGAAGAAAGAAGGCTTAAGCTTATATTATGTAGAATTCAGTTTCAGTAGTTAACAATACATATTAAGAATTGCAAATATTCTGTACTTTCATAGTACAGAATACTTAAATTTCTCCTTGTCTTCCTAAGATGCTGATATGTAGAGAAAATTACTTTTCTGTTGTTTGTCAGATAAAAAAATAGTCAAAACTATACAAGTCTTTGTAAAAAAAAGACAAACTTATTTAAGTAACAACTCCCCAGTTAAAAGAAAAAATCTGAGGAGAAAATGAATTCTTTCCATATTATCTTCCTAGGCCGTCTTGCAACTGTGTTGACTTTATGATTATTTATTTTTTCCTGTTTATGGTAACTGTTTTTTTTTTTTTTTTTAATCCATTTAAAATTTAGTCTTATGAAAGTATCACATCGAATGCTTGGTTGTCATATGATGTTGGCAGAAAATTCTTTGTTAAATAGTGAAAAATACTCCATCCTCCTTAGTGTCTTCAGTTTCCCATCATCAATTTCAAACTTCAGAGCTGAAAAAGACAATCTGCCTTGCAAATGTTTCTGTTCTCCCCAGTGCTCTGTCTCCCTGTTTGCTGCCTTCCTACCTTCCCCACCCTCTCAGTTCTGTGAAAACAGAGCAGGAACACAACTGAAATTGTTAGAAAGAAGCTCTAGAAGAAGAAAGAAAGAAAGGCAACTGGCTTCCTTCATTTGGTGCCGTCTTTCGTATACAGCATAGGCAGATCCAGAAAATCACACCTTCTGCTGACATCTTGGTAATACTGTCTGAAATTTTTACACTATGTGCTAAGTTCAATTAGTCTCCAAGGGAATTTGTACATACTGGGCTAGTGCTCTGTTTCTTGTGCATTTTCAACTTCCTGTGTTGTGCATGTCTGTCAGTTTGTTGGCAAGCGGTTTTTGTCTGTACGGATGTGTCTGTAGACATCAAGAGAATTGTTTTCTTCAGCAAATTAGTAGAGATCAAACTTCGAAGAAATACTCCAGTGCAACTCTGGTTCTACAGAATAAGAAGGTGCTTTTGAAAATACTGCCATGTGTCAGTAAAAGTCAGCCACATACTTTTGAGGTGTGGAAGATAAATTTTCTAGGTCCAGTGAACAAATAGTATTTACAAGATACATCCTGCATGGTGAATGTCTTCAAGAAGCCATTCCTTTTTTTTTTTTGGCTTAATTTTTGCAAGGCACTCTTCACCTCACTGGGTTTAATTTCAAACTTCTGAATTACCTGTGAAATGCATTTTCTTGTTCTGTTTTTCATGTTTTCATTCAGTACAGGTGTTCTGGATCTCTTCGTGCCCATGGTAACCTTTCCATTTTAATTTTATTTTTGCATTAGAATAATGCTCAATGCCGGGGCCTGGAACTTCATGGTCTGATGCAGTGCTCCCGTGGAGCTCTGAACATAAAACTGGAGGAGTTTACTTGACTCACTAAGGCTTGAGCATTGCTGTCACAAGTATTAAACTGTTTGCAAATACAGTAAAATCTAAATTCTAAAATGTAAAACCTAGTAAAATCTAAAATCAAATTCTAAAATGAATTTGAACTTCTTGTCCCAGTGTTTTTGGAAATGTGGGCCATGACTTCATTCCTTTGATTCGTATCTAGTCCAAATCTATCCCTGATGATTTTACTACTGCTTTTTTCTGTAATAATGTTCCATTTTTACTCTCTCACTCTGTGTGCCCCCACCCTGTCCACCACCCCTTCCAATGCAGTTGCTGTTAACTCGTGTGCTGTAAATTATGAGGCAATCAGATTTGTATATAGGTCTTGTTTTGCTGCTCTTGGATTTTTTAGGTTATACTTTGCTGTATGCTGCAAACCATTTTTTAGTATTTATGCCATTTCCATGAAAAATCGCAATTCACAGGACTTGTCACTGTGCTGTATTTTTAAACTGCAGGAAATGGAATATAGAGATTTTTGAGTTACCCCCAACTATCTTGTATTCCTTTGTTAACAGTGGCAGCTGAGGTGCTCAAAGTCCCAATGTATTCACCAGAATTGTGGTGGTGAAACAAAGCTAAGAGCATCACCTGAAGTGATGTGTATGCTTTTAATTCTGTTTGTAGAATAGTTATATAGCTTGTGGAATGACAATAGTTATTAATTTCATTTACATCTCAGGGAAGCTGCAGGTTACTCTGAAACCATTGGTAGGGGCATACAAGGCCCCTTGCCCCTACACAGATGGAAAAGTTTTATTTAATCTTATGTTTTAGAGATAGAAGGAAATGTCTATGAGCACCAGAGCTGTCTCTACCCTAAGCGATAGTAGTGACTTAAATATTGTTACTGGTTGGCTAAATTGTCCAATGACTGAGTCTTGCTACTGTCTACTTCATGGTGTTTTCATGTACCATCACCTTGCAACACTAAAAGCAAAGTCTTCTAAGGTTAGTGTACCAACAATCTTACTTCAGAGATTGAAATAACTTAGTAATGCTCTTCTCTTTTGACATGAGAAAGACCACTGTTTTTCATAGCACACCCTTTCTTGTTGCTTGAAGAGTGCAGGTCACTTCCTATAAATGTCATTTTCCATTGTATTCATCTTAAGGTACGAGATTAGAGACACAGGTATTTTTTTATTTCTCAGTGCTACCTCCTGACTTCACTCTTAAAAAAGTTAAAAGCTCTCAGTGTATAACAGTGTGTTACTTTGTGGGAAGTTTGGGATGATGGAAAAAAGTGGACTTAAGTGTTGCAGTTTGGGTCTTAGCTGTCAGTGTTGTTTTTCCAATTACTGTTGCTCATGGTGACTTTTTTCTTAAAATTGTATTTCTTTAAAGTGTATAGTATTTTGAAACATTTTGTCACCATGTTTTTATATTTTTATATATGTATGTATTTACATGTTTACATATAATTTATATATTTTATATGTAGTATATAATTTTATATATCTGTATGTATGTATAGATGCCTGTATATCATATATGGGTGTGTATGCTATCTCTTATATGTTAAATGCCACTCATTATACTTGTTACATTCAATTAGTAGTTTTTGGTTATTTCTTCTGTTACATGCTCACCTCAGTATTTTTTTCTGAGGACTTGACATCCTTATCCTTCTGCAGTGACAGGATAAGGTGTCTGTTTCGTAGAGTGTTTGTTTTTTGCTGCTTAGAGTAAGCATATTAGTAGATACTTTGAGGTTGATTTTGAATATTCTCGGCATAGGACAAGCAAATTAGTAACAGAATCACAGAGAATCATTGAGTGGCTGAAACTGGCAGAACACCTCTGAAGATGGTGTAGTACACTCCTTTAGCAGATCCAGCCTTCTGCTCCAGCAGTATCAGCTACAGCGGGCTGCCCAGTGTCCAATTTGAGTATGTCTAAGAATGGAGACTCTGCAACCTCTCTGAGTAGGCTCTTCCAGTGTTCAGCCACTTTCAATGGATAAAAATATTTTTACTATGTTTAGCTGCAATTTAATGTGATTTTTATTGGTGCTTTTTTTGCCTCTTTTCCTCTCACTGAGCACCCTTTACAATTATCTGTCTGCATCTTCTTTCTAAATTGCCATCAGGTATTTATAGATGTTGGTAGTTCAGTTGTCACTGAACTTCGCCTTCTCCAGGCTGAGCAGACCCAGCTTTCCCAGCCTCTCTATATATAGCAGATGCTGCAATACTTAAATCATCTTTGTGGCCCTTCATTGACTCTCTCCAGCCATGTCCATGCTTCTCTTGTACTGGTCCTGGGGAACCCAGTACCAGACACAGCACCAAAATGTGCCTTAAAACTTCTGACTGAAAGGGAAAAATCATCTCCCTTGTCCTGCTGGCAACAGTATCCTCTCTGCAGCTCAGGATGTCACTGGCATTTGGCACAAGGCCACATTACTACCTGATGGCCATTGAGGTGTCCACCAGGATCCCCAGGGCATTTTCTCAGTAGATACTTTCCAGCTTGTCTGTTCCCAGATTGTGCTTTTACACAGGATTATTATCACCCAGGGGCAGTAATTTGCACTTGTCTTTTTTGAGCTTCATGAGGTTCCTGTCCAGCCATTTGTCCATCTGTCAAGGTCCTTCTCTCCCTGGCAGCCCAGACATCTGTTGTGCCATCCGCCTTTTTTGTGTCATCAGCAAAGTTGCCATGGTGCATTCTGTCCCATTGTCTGGATCATTAATGATGTTGAAAAGTGGTGGCCCTGAGCCCCTAGGCTACCCCTTTAGTGCCTGGTCTTGAACTGACCTTTGCATCATTGATCACAACTCTTCAAACCCAGTAGTTCTACCAGTTCAAGGGAACTTTCCTGTCCACTTATCTAGCTTGCACCTCATCAATCTGTCTATAGCATTTTATGGGAGACTATGTGTGCTACAATCAAAAAGAGCATCTAGTGCTCACCCTTTATCCACTGAGATAGTAATTCCCTCGGAGCAGGCTGCCAGACCAGTTGGTTAGAGCATGGTGCTAATAACATCAAGGCTGTGGGTTCAGTCCCTGCTCAAGTCATTTACTTAAGAGTTGTACTTGATGATCATTGTGCTCCCTTTCGAACTCAGAATGTTCTATGAATCTGTAAATATAATTTCCTCTTATGACTCCCAGTGATCATCTTTTCCATTATATGGTCCATCACCTTCCCAAGGACTAAGATACAGTTGACTGCGCTCTAGTTTCCCAGAACCTTCTTTTTCAACATAGGCCTTCCTAAAGAACTTGTATCCATGCATGGCAGTGCTTCAGTCCTGTGAGTTCTCCCACCTTTTCTCTGTGATCCCAATGAGTCCAGCAGGTGCAGACAGATCTCTCAATCCTCCTGTTGTCCCCATGCAGATGTACTGTGTCCATTTGAACAGCAGCTTCAGATAGGCACCCAGTTGTGCTTGTTTCCTGGTCTATGGAAAATCACACTGTAAAAGGCCATCTTCTATGAAGGAGACAGAGAAGTCCTGCAAGAATGAATTTAATTTGAATAAAAGGAGAGAGTCCACTAGGCCGTATCCCTATGGGGTCTGTCTTGGGTTTTTGGAAGACATAGCCTCCTTTATCCCAAACTCCTGATGGCATGTTGCCCTCGTTCCTTTCCCCATTGGCTGAGGTACTAGGAACAGGAACAGCCTTCCTGAATCACCTACTACATATTCCCTCTGTAAGATGTATTCCCCCACACACCCATCATGCATTGCATGGCCCTTAAAATTAGCTTTAAGCCCACCCTGGCTGGAGAGGTTAATATTCGTAAGTCTATTAAGCCTGCACATTTTTCCCTGAAGTTCAGCCTGCACTCAGTTCTGCAACAAACTTGTATGGCTTGATATTAGTGACGACCCCCACACCCATTTCTCCAGAACGTGACTGGTTCTTTCAGATTGAGTTGTTCATGAAGACATTACCACCCATTTCTCCTATCAACAGGAAGACTCTTAAGAACTTCTCATATTATCAGCACTCCATTATTTATGTGCATAAAGTGAACATTCTCCCTGATCATTCTGCTGCTCATCACAAGGTCTTCTCTGTCCATATCTACCTGTCTGCTTTTGCCTGCCAGTCCAGGCCACAGCTCCCTCACGGGTCAACTCATCAACATCTTTGATCCCTGCCATTCCTAGTTTAAAGCTCCCCTCTCTGATTTGGCTCCTCTTGTTAGCAAAGTGCTTATTTATGTGTATTTATTTGTATTGCATATTGGTACCAAATAGTAAGGTTAGCAAAATTTCCATATTGTTCTGTAAAAGTGAAATAAAAGAAGGCTCCCCCATGGATTGACAATGTAAAAAGAGTACCTCATTCATTAAAGACAAAAGCAAATTAAAGTACAAGTATGAATAAATAAAGTTTGATTTCTGAAATTTATCGTAATGGAACTGTGACTGAGTTTCTTTACGCTTAAAAAGCCTTGAATTTAACATAAGCAAACATGTTATGTGTTCTGACTGTGCTGTGGTTCTTGTGTGGCTGCAAGATTTAGTTTCTCCCTCCACTGCCTCTCCTTAAGGATATAACTGGAAATCTGGTAAAGTCAACAAAAAAGATTCCCATTGACATTAATACACTTTGTGGGCAGACCATTACAGAACACGTAATACTGCATTCTCGGGTAACAGACATGGATAACTGCATTGATGTTTGCCTACAAATTAACACAAATTAACATTATTAACAAAATTAATGTAATCTGTGTTTCGACTGCAGTGAAAAGATGTGTTATTTTCTACTGTATACACACAGGGAAATTAAAGAAGTGCTTGTTTGGAAGCCTGTTGTTCAGCTGTCAGAAAGCACTGGTGTATCACTGTGTCTGTATTTCTGCTGCTATTCTTCTGAACAGAATTAAATTAGTACATAAGCAATACATACTGCAGTTGCACTTTCTTAAGTCAGGAATCTTTAATATATCTCTACCCTTGTTAACTTTGGGGAACTACTTTACAATACATTCAGAACAGCAGGAATTATAGTGTTAAGTCCTAGTAAGCTTGATTAGTGTGTCCCTAAGTGTTGTCCTTTGTTGCTCTGTTAATAGGCTTTCTGAAATGGTCCTTTTTAACAAAACAAAGCTGTCTGGCTGTCATATTGTACATGTAATTTAAATTCTTACATAATTATTCAGGTGTACCTATATTGAATAATCGTTCAATCACAAACCCTAATTAGTGGCATAGGTTTTAAGAAAAAAAATTTGTGAAATTCACTTAAAATTCTTTATTTGTTATTCTGTGTTTTCCCTGGAAGAAGACAATAATATTGCTGCTTACCTTTTGTACACTAATCTTTGCCTGGATATCTCCAGAAGCATTAGAAAAATGCAGTGATAACTCCTTTTAATGATAATTTCAGTCACAGAAATGTTACATATATATTAGAGGTTACAGAGACAATTCTTTGAGGAAGTAAGGAAGAAAATTAGTTGGAGTGCTAAATATATAGTTTGGTATCTCTGCAATGTGAAATGTGTGAAACAGTGTGAAATGTGCTTGTGAATTAGAAGGGAATTAAGTAGAAAATATATAAACAGGTATTAATAGAGTCATCTGTACTTTTACTATATGTTGCAGAAAATATTAAAAATTTCAATAGTTTATAATAAGTGTTACTGTATTTTGATCTTAATTTAACAAATTCATCATCAGTACAGTAAAATTATCAAGAAAGCTGATTATACTAGATCTGTCCTATGGTTGCATTACAATACCATTCCTGTTATTGTCTTTATAGGGCTTTCATTGTGTTATATAATACGCACCAAAGTTTTTGCTTGCTTTGTTTATGGTTGTTGCAGTATGCTGTTCCTGCACACAAAAAGTAATTATCAGCAAACATATTCATATGTCTAGGGAGTAGATGCATTTCGGAAAAAAGCTTGCTTCATACATACTCTGCAAGTTCAGGAAAAAGTTTTATCTTTTTCTGATTGTTCTAGGTAAAAAAAAACAAACCAGCAAACTTACAGCTGATGTGTTCATATTTTACGTCTTGACACTTAATGCTAAAGAGTGAACTAAGTATTCAATAGAAAAAGATGAAGTAGTGAAAATTTATTTATTTTAGAGCAGTTAAAGTATTACTGGGAAATAGAAAGGCATTCCATTTTGAAAATTAACTGTTTTGTAGATATTTCTCAAAAGTGTATGATAAATATTTTATATGTAATTTACAGTGTTTGTAAGGCAATTGACAGAAAAATAAATGAAGATAGGAAGCTCATTATCTACAATAAAATCATTTACATACAATGTTTTAACAGAGGTCATTGTTCTTTTTCTTATTTTCTCTTTATTGCTTGTTTTGCACAGGAAGGAGTTAGAGGAGCTACAGAATCTTTACAAACAAAACACTGAAGATGCAGCACAGCAGGCTGAGCTGATAAAGCAGCCAGAGGCTCTCAATGCTGATACACAAAATGTACTGCAAGACCAAGAATGTGCTCACACAGCTAAAACAACATATCAGAAAGTATGTTTTTCTGCTTTATGATCATAGGGTTCATTTTAATATCAGTCTGTACAATATCAATGCACAGATAATCAAAGCTCTTCATAGTGTTGCATCTTTTAGATCTCTGGCTTTCTGAGTATCCAAGTTTATTGGCCTAACTGCATACCAGCATATATGGCCTCTTGAATTGATCAGCCTCAATGATTAAGATTTCATTGCATCTGAAGAAAAATAGGATTGAATTGCCAAGCATATAAATTTCTTTATCTAATTTGGTGTTAACTATGTCTTTTTGCTCTCCTGGAGGATAGGAGCTTTCAATTACTAAATTCTCCAAATTGATTTTCATAGTTCAGGGGAAGATATTCTTTTCACTACATAAAATATTTGTGTGAATCACAAAGAATTTAGTGGTTTAAGATACAAAAACCCGCTCTCTAAAAATTAACTGGAAATATTGTTGCTATAGCATCTTTTGACGTGCTTAACTAGTTCACAACGTTGGAACAATATATACATTTGCAGAACAGTTTTATAATTTTGGTGAATGTCAGGGAAAATGCTCACTCTAATGATCTGTTAAACACGCACTACTCAGAACTTATTTTAGGTTTATGAAATTATATATATTTTTATATCTGTGAGGAATATAGAAGATATGTTTGCTTCCTTTTTAGAAAGATTAAGAAGGAAGAAGGCAAGGAAGAGTTCGTATAAATAACTATCACACCCCTGATTTCTGAAGTTGTGTAATGCCAGTGCTTTTTCCCAAAACTTTTTCTTCCCATTGTCATCTTTCTTACAGTGTGCAGTTTTTAATAAAATTGTGAAGCTAGGCCTCAGTCAAACCAGATTCAGTACTGGGTTTCTAAAGATGTGTTTGTTTAGTGTTTTATAGCTCATAGTGCCCTGCACATTCTTGTCTACTTAACACTGTGCCACGTGATGTGGTTTGCTAAGGTAATTGAAATTTTGTGGAATACCAACATAAGGAGCTGCTGCATATAAAAAAGTGTGGAAAAAACTCAAACTCCCTAGAAAACTTTACAGTTTATTTGACTGCAATGATGATAGATACTGAATCATTTCTGCATTGCAATAGTAGCTTAGTCAAGCTACTGACTTTCTATCAAAGTATCTTTCTATCAAGGTAGACTTTCTATCAAAGTTGTTCAGAACATGTACAAGGCAGGGGGAATTTATCCATCTGGGGCAAGACAGAGTAAATTCTAGAATGAAAAAAAAATAGGTGTCAAGAGTTGCTAGTTTTTTATCTTCCATTCTCTTGTCAATGCTTCTGAAGGTGTTAAATGGATTCTTTGAGTCACTCGAAAAAAAAAAGGGGAAGAAAGTGTGACATGTCTTCAGTGGTGTCTATAAAATCATATTCTTCCAGACGAGTTCTACAACAATACAATATGAAAGAAAATAAAACTGAATTTTCATGAGACTGTTTTAAAGCATGAAAAAACCTCTTTATAAAGGTCACTTTACCTTGCACAGTAGAGATTTTGCCTGTATTTCTTCAGTATGGGAAAGAGTTTGACCTGTCCTATGAAAAATAATTGCTCAAGTAATATGTAAAATTGATGGGTATGTTGATATAGCTATAGGGTCAAGCCACTTCTAATGTGGGCTTGTTTCAATATTTAGGATTGCTTCAGAAAACTGGTTCACAGTTCTTGGTCTTAGGTGGGACTTAAAGCTTTTGCCTATTTTGCCTTATAACAAGAATAATGTGGGTTAGAAGATAAGCCCTAATTATTGATAGCTGCCAAATAGTCCCAACTTACAAAAGAATCTAAAATTTGCTGTTTTAGAGATGTTGAATTCAATAGTTTTTAACATAGAGCAGTAAGGTCTCTTAAACTTCTTAAACCAGCAAGAGCCAACTCATATCTGCTTAAACATTACTGTTGTGGAACTGCTAAGTTGTCTTTTTATAAAATATTGAACATGAAAAAATATGGGGGAAAAAAAAAAAAGTGTAAAAAAAGGAGTAAGTGAAGTTCCTGAAGTGTATTCCTGAAGTGGAATAGAGCTAATGCTTGTGGAAAGTTGAGTTAAGAGAACTTTGGAAGGGGAAAGGAATTCATTTATCATGACAGTCCTATTCTACATTTCTGATCAAAACAGTATAAAACAGCCAATTGTAATTGATTCAAAGTAACATGGATTTTTCAATTCACAAGATATGCATTCCTACCGAAGTCGCAGGAGGCTTTTGGAGAACTCATCATCTATAGAAATAATATAAATGTTTATTTTTTTTGCTTCAATGAGAGAGGCACTAACTATTGCAGACAAATCTGTGTTCTGTTTGTCTTCCCTGAATTAATGATGTGCAGTCTGCAACAGCTAGATAAGGATGTGTCAGCCATTCCATAAATGTAGTCACAAAGGAATATTTTCCTACTTCTTCAAATGGCATTGAGCCTATCAGCATGTACATCCTATGATATATTGTCCCTTACAGCAAGATCAATGACCTCTCTGTTAGTGGTCAGATAGGCACTATGTGCTGTAGCTTAGGCAGTATGGTTGGCTCACATACTCAAAACATGTTAACAGGATACCATTGAGAAAAACAGATCTTTGTGCTGATGTTAATGGAAATTGATGGAAAAAGTAAAAAATATTTCTAATAAATCTGAGGTCATAAACTTGCTTTGAATTATGTGTACATTTATTGAAGACAACAAATTTTCAAGTCTGGCTGTAGTGAGCAGCAGGTAAAGATCTGTAATCTGTTTTATCAAGTTGGGTTGACTTCACATACCTTTTTTCTCTAAGTACAAATTTTGAGGATGCTGTATTGTACAGTACTCCTTTACATTAAAGCTTTTATGGAAATAAATTGGTGTCTGTTTCATATTGCAGCTGTAGTTCATATTCTCAAGGATAGAGAATATTTTTCTAAAATGTGTAGCATCTGCTTTAGTGGTCCCAAATGCTCTGGGGACTGCATTCCTATGCTGGATTTAATGAGACTCGATAGATTTGTCCTCACCAACAATTTCAAGGTGGAGAGATTTCAATCAATACTAGGGATAATAAGACAAGAAGAGCTTCTGAAGTCTTTTGCCAGCTTATCACAGTTTTCTGAAATTTACAATTTAGGGCCTTTGTTTTTATAATGCAATGCTTTCACTTGATCTGATGTGGCCTTTACCATCCATGTTAATCATACTGATTAAAAGTCTTTCAGTGGAAGGCCTTTTTAGTGGAGTGGAAATACATTGTCATTCAAAGGGAAATGATAATTTATGTCCTGGAACTCAGTTCTCAGATAGAGAATACTATGAATAGAGGTACTATGCATGTCTGTGAATGAAGAAAAGCATTGTGCAGTAGTTAGTCTAATTAGACTATTTAGATTTAGTAATTAGAAAGCACGGTAAGAGTTTCCAGTTATCAGGCATCACAGAAGTCTGCATCAAGTGCATCAACAAGTAGATAAAAATAGGAATGTGACAGATACATTTTCAGATGTTAATTTTGTACCTGCATTTGCCTTTGCTAGTCCTTCTCATGATGTCTTGTAGAAGTAGTTTGCTTTCCTTCAAGCCTGAGAAAGGGTTATTACTATAATAAGGTTGTTTTACATTTCCAGTATTTTTTGTAACTGCAGAAATCTTTAAGTGTAGTTAAAAATAAAGGTGTCTATGTAAGCAGTATTAAATTCTGAAAATAAATATTAAACCTATGTAGGTCTGTAAATGCTAGTGATAGTGCAGGTTCAAATTAAAATGAAAAGCCTACGTTCTTTCACACATGATAAGGCAGGGGAGAAACTACATGTCCAGTCAAGTATGCTGAAGCCCACATGAGTGATAAGTGTATTGTCATTTTCATGTCTACTTTGGGAAAGTTTTGAGGAACTCAGATCTTCAACAAATTCCTACACTTTAGGTCAAGCTCAGATACTGTTTTCTATTGTTGGAAGGTATGTTAATTAAGGTAGTCTGTGTTTCTTGTATGCCAAACACCAGTACGCTTAGTCACATTCTAGGAAGTAGATTTTGGCATCAGATGTGCCTATAGGTTGAAGTCAAAGAAATCCTGGGTAGATTGAGTCTCTGAGGATAATATTAAATGGTGCCCTCCCAGGCAGTGATTTTCATGCTTGAAAGACCCTGTACTTATATTCATGAACCACAGTAGTTCCTGTGTGTAATGGTGTAGACTGATATCTGCAGAATATTCAAGTATTTGGGAAGGAACAAAAGTGAATATAAATAAAGTAAAGCTAAATATCGTGAATGGGCTATATATAGTCTGTCTGGACTGTTGCTTCACCTTCACCCTAGAGTTTCTTCAGCTGATTTCTGCCCTTGTTCTTTTCAGGTTCTCATAAAAAACATAGGTTGTAACATGGATTTCTGCAATGGTGCTGCAGTAATTTCCATTATAGTTTTACTGTGTCTTAATTTAGACTAACATTTTAAAATTTATGGCATTACTATATGCTCAATATTACTATATGTTTGGATTCCTAAACAGCTGGATGTGGTACTTAGTGCTGTGGTTTAGTTGACATGATTGCTTTGGTCAAAGGTTGAGCTTGATGATCTTCAGGGTCTTTTCCAACCTTAGTAATTCAGTGATTCTATTTGCTTGTGTCTCTGTAATTTTTTTAGGATGCAAACATATTGATAAAATATTTAATGTAGGAGAATACTTGTTTTGTGCACAGTGCATATATATGGTTACTGTTACACTTTTTAGATGGATCTACCTTAGTGTTAGTTCCTCACCGGAAGTTTTAAAGACAGTCTCCCAAATGACCCTACTCTTCTTGTACTTCAGTTGATATCATAGAAAAGTTGAAGATAGTATCAGTTAAATACCTTTTGGATCATGGAACCAAAAAGCATAGCCCAACTGTTAGCTGGCATTTAGTGCATAGGAGCGATCTAAACCTACTTTAAAATAAATTCTGCATACTTGTTAATGTTGGTAATTGTTTCAGCTGTTTCAGTCTGCAGGGTTTTTTTTTTCCAGTTGCACTATGGTTC